TGTTTCTAGTGGGACTATGTTTACAAGCACAAGAGTTCAGCGAGCCACCAAAGGACCGCCCTGCAGATTTACTATTGGTTCTGCAACGTAGGGAGTTTTTTTAAACTCTGAAATTGTATCCGCCCATCTAAACACAAAATCAGGGAGAAAGTCATCAGTCTTTAGTTAAGCAAAGCGTCTAAAGACTGACTTGTGAGTCTAAAGTGCCAGTGTGCCAGGACTAGTTTTGTAACCCTTGATTTGAGCATGTAAAAGACTTGTGTAACTACATTTGCGCCAGCAATGGGGATTCTCATGCTCGTAATGATCAAAGCTGCTCACACTCACATTTTCAGTCTGAATCCCCTGAGAGCAAACTCAAACTGAGAGCACAGAATCTCTTAAACAGTCATATGGGCGCCAACAGCTCCTTACAGAGAACCAATATACTCAAAAAGTGACTTTACTTTCCTAGTGCAGGCTTTAACCTTGAAAAAGACATAACTATGACATCCAGATGTAGGTGTGTGTTACAAGCTCAAGGGCTCAGAAGCAGCCAAAACAGCAGGGGACAATTGAGAAAGCAGACTCAGAATCAAGTGCATGCACGGATTGCACAAATGTTGACTCGCAGACCGAGTGGCGCTCTGAATTTGTTTTGTGCTCCCTTTAACTTGCCAGAAGCATGAGAGATGCGATGCAGCATTTCAACTCCCTTATTCACTATCTGCCTCCAACAACACTTCGATCATCTGCTGCTGGATTACTGGAGGTTCCCTACAACAGTCAAAGGAAAATTGGGGATGCGGCCTTTGTTACTTACGCCCCTAAGCTCTGGAACACTCTACCTTTAGATATCAGGGAAGCCAACTTGCTAGATATCTTTAGAAGAAAGCTAAAAACTTATCTCTATTCTTATGCACCTCATGTATATCTTAACTCGTAATTATTTATTTTTCTTATTGATGTTTTATTCCTTTTCTTTCCTTGTTGGCTAGTGATTGGATTAGTGAAATTAGAAATCGTTGTTTACTTGTTTCAGGACATGAGGAGAAACCAGAGGCGCATTGCTGAACTCAACTCGACTATACGCAAATTAGAGGACCGCAACTCACTGCTGGTCGATGAGAGGAATGAACTGGTATGACAAAATGATTTATTTAAAGATTATGTATCTCCTGCTCTCTCTTCCTTCTGTCACTCTCTGCCTTTCCTTTAAATCTCCCAGCTCCCGTAGTTTGCTGTCCACCTTCCTCATGTCTGTCTCAATTTAATCTATCCTTGTGTCCCTTTCTCTCCACCAGCTAAAGCGAGTTCGAGAGTCAGAGAAGCAGTGTAAGCCCCTGCTGGACAAGAACAAGCTGCTGAGTAAAAGGAATGATGATTTGACTCAGACTATCCAGAAGCTGGAGGAGAAACTCAAGAGCCTGGCCAAGGAGAACCATGAGATGGTCAGCACAGAATCATATTATTACCGTACAGTGAATACCATTAGCACATTTTTAGCAAGAGGGAGAGGCTGACTTACAGATGGGTGCTGTGTGTCCACAGAAGGAGAAGATCAGCTCCCATCCTCCACTGAAGAAGCTGAAGTCTCTGAATGACCTGGACCAAGCACATGATGACCAGGAAATAGCCTTTCTCAAGCTTCAAGTCCTGGAGCAACAAAGCATGATTGATGAGCTGACAAGAGTATGTTTTTTTCCTTATGCAATGAAGGTGTGAATAATCATGTCTTTGTTTTTTTT